TCTAAAAACAACCACTTCCTGTTAGGCAAGATGCTGGAAGCACTAGGTAGGGCCCCCCCCCCCCCTTTTTTTTTTTTCTTTTTCTTTTTTCTTTTTCCCTTAAGCGCTGGAATCTGAGGGTCATTTGTTTATGGTGGGAAGAAATTGCACAGTGCACCTGGAGCTTGAATTCAGAAGACTGACTGTGCATAATCTTGTTTAGGGCACATAAGCTCTTGCCTGATACCCTTCCCAGGAGACAGAGACATTGAAGTGTTTAGCTCAGTGGCTGCTGAAATCTTCTCCTTTGGTTTTGGACAGGAGGCCACCCTTTGTGTTGTTTGTTAGTGGGCAGTAAAAGGGAAGGGATTCATGTCTCAGGTGATTCAAGTGATTCTCAGGGAGCAACCTGTGAGGTCAATCACTGGGTACCTTGGATCCTTTTTGTGACACCAGTTCTCTGTGTTGCTAATAGTAGTCTCTTTGCTACTTAATAGAAAAATCTGGGATGGGTATTAGCTCTGCAGCCTTAAACACTATTGAGGGCTGAACTCCAGTGCTTTGGTCTCATCAAGCAGAGGGTGGATACTGCCTGTCACCTTGATTTGACCATCTCCTCAAACTTTGAAAACATCCCAAGAAGCTGATTAGGAGTACTGAAAGCTATGGATTGGCAATTATTCTGTTGAGGATCTCTTGGTGGGTGGGATGGGAATTGTGGGTACAATTAAAATTGGTACTGATACAAATAACAGCAGCTCTTCCTGATGTCAGGTTTAGAAATGTAGTGATACTGTATTTCTAAAGGCTTCAAAATAGTATCAGAGTATCTCACCAGAAGCAGAACAGGTAACTGGCTTTGTACAGGCTGTGGAAAGATGCAATTCAGAAGTTTAAGTAAAAAGTATCTTAAGTGGTTTCACAGAAGTAGTGTTGAAGCAGCTGAAAACTGAATCTGAGACAAGTCATTCCAGAGTGCTGTGACCTTGCTTCCCAGAAGAGAGTCAGTTTATCAAGCTGTTGGGAGTGCAGCTGTGACTTCTGAAAGTGCAGTCCTAACTATCCCCAAACAACCTGAAAGAGCTTTCTTGTTGTTCTCAGGCTGAAATAATCATAGTGATTTCCCTAGGTAAACTCCCGTTTTCAGGGATTGGTTCACCTAATATATTTATATGCACATACTCTTAAACTCTCAAAAAAAATAAACACCTAGTACACTCTGCTCCTTGTACAGTGCTGTGTAGCTTTCAAAAGCAGAATTGCAGAAATACTGCTATTTACACTGCAGTGAAGCAAACCTTCCCTTCTTCCTTGCAAAAGTGAGAATAAAAATGCTTTGGCATATAGCTTTGATTTGAAAAGCCTCTGGTTTTCAGAGCTGCTTTTAAAGCAAAGGGCTACTTTGCCTTTTGATCCTCTTAAGCTGGGTTATTTGATGTGAAAAACGTCCTGGGTACTCTGCTGCAGAGGGGAGCAGCTTTTCAGTTCGCTGTGTGTGGCTTCAGAAGAGGCCTGGCAGAGCATGGGGTGGCTGGGGGCTTGGGGGGCCTGGTTGCACAGCTCTGTAAATAAAGGGGCCTCTATTTCTTTGGATTCTTTTGCTGGAACTAAATATCACGATCAGTGAAACTCTTACCTCATTAAAGGAACAAGCTAGGCTCCTCCAGCATATGTGCAGTGCTGCAGTGTGGTTTGTTCTGCTGAGCTGATTTGCTGAACAGATAACGAGAGTTTTAACCTAAGAATGGCATGTAATGTATGGCCTTGGCTTTTGAAAGGTTTATTTTTGTTCTTTTGACAAAATAAGGTTTTAATATTAAATATGGGGTTGGATTTGACTTGGCAGATACCAGAGCCTTCTATTACTGCTGTAGTCATAATATAAAACTATCTGATGTGTGCCAGCGAGCATGCAGCAAGCCAAGAATTTCTCCATTTGTGTTTATTTTTCTGAAAACTTACCCAGTCGCTTTGCAGTTGGTTTGGCTAAAAAGGTGATGTGCCCTTGTGTTGGAGGGAGCAAAGCAGTGGTGGGCACAATATAGTCCATGCAGACTCTTTATACTTAGCATCTTTAGTTTTGGGACAGAATAGGGGTTTCCCCCTACCCTCCCCCCTCCACTTTGTGTTTTAGAAGTGTTTAGAATAAGCTTCCACTCAAAACTCAAGAGTCCACCAGAACCAAGGTATAAAATAAACTATGTGAAATATTCAGATCTGTTAGTACAGAAATTTTATGTTGTACTGCAGCTTTCACTTTGTGTAGCCAGGGCCATGCAGGGATACAAAGTACTAATTCTGAGGCTTCCTTCCTGCACACGTTCCATGTCAGATCATCATATTACTGTAAAGCTGAGGTGCTTTTGGACTGCTGTACTGCAAAAATTTGAAGAAATTACCTGTAAAGCACTTCAGCACCGAGATGTTGAACTCTGCTCCAAAGTCCTTGTTCTAAATTGGCTGTATTTTGAATTGGTTACCTTCTAATTTAAACTACTACCACCCTCCCCCTCAAAAAAAAACCCAAAAAAAACCAAAAAACCCCAAAAAACACTAAAACCCAAAAGCAAATAAAACCACACAAACAAACAAAAAAAAGTAACAAAAACACCCAACCTAACCATGACCAGAAAAACCTACACCATAGGTTTATCATCTCCTTCCTCACTTCCCAAGCTCTCAGAGAAATCAGCCCCAAATAGTGCCAGAATATAGTTTCTAAAGATCAAAGGCTGTAATCAAATTGTGTTGCCTCTGCAGCTGGCACAGGAGTTGTGTCAGGCTGACCTGCTGGGAATGCTTTCCACTGGAAAGGGAGCAAGTGGGTGCAGGTACAAGTAGCAGAGAAAGTGAGGAGGTCCATGAAAGAGTTCATGGCTTCCATGTGCTTTACCAAGATTTCTTCCATCTGTGTATTGTTACCCTTCCACCCAGTTTTCTTGTGGAAATGAGGCTTGTTTTGTTTTTCTCTTCTGGAAGTATTCTTAGGGTTTTTAGCTTGTTCATTGACTGTGGCTAAATAAAGGTGATTGATTTTCTAGAAATTTTCTGGAAGTTTGGGGAAAATTTGGGACTTACAGGAAAAAGCACAAGTTTGAAAATCTGCAAGCCTGCAAGTTGTGGTGGACTTTTTGTCCAGCTTGTCATCTTCATAAGATAAGCAGTTGAGATGTATGGCAAAAGGAGGAGACTGCCATGAGGATCCAGTGTTTCCACATGGAATAGATAGGAGTATCTCTGTCCTTGTGAGAGATGATAAGACATTTGTTCTGTCTTCCATTGGCACATGTATCTGGAGATCTTGGGTTTCTAACTGGAAAAATAATTTCCCATGCTACTTGCCTCTCCACTAGCAGACTGATGCACTCTTATCAAAAATTTTGAAGCTGGGGCCAGTGTGAGCACCTGTAGTAAAAAGGATATCTGTAAGAAAAGCCAAGCTGCATAATTTGGCTATTGGATACTTCTCTGTGATTTTCCTATGCCAAAGGTTAGAAGCATATGTGAAGGTCTGTGTAGCTCCTGAAGCTCATGTCTGCCTCCATTCCCAGGTAATCCCCCAAACCTCATCCAGGAGCTCTGATCCTGGATTATGGTCCATTGTTCAGTGAGAGAAATTCCATGGCGTCGTTTAAACTACATTGAACTTACCTTCAAATACAAGACTTTTATTAAGAATAAAAGCAAAAACTTTGGCAAAAATACTAACAAAATTACTATGCTAATTATATTCTAAATATTAATATTTCTTTCTAGGAAAGACTTGTCTAAATTAAGCATAAAATATTTCCAAAGTAATCACAAGTATTCAAAGCCACATATGTCACAATTTCCTCAAAACCAGATTACCAAGCTAAAATTAAACAGATCAAAGACTTTCACTTTATTGACTGTTACCTCAGAACAGCTGCACAGTGCAGATGAATTACATGTTTTTTAATTTTCCCTGTATTTTCACCAACTTGTGGCCATTAACTATTCAAAAACATTGTAAGTCTAATCTTTAAATACAAATCTCTTAGATGCAAATAAAATTCTTCTAAGTTTTAAATGTTAATTTAAGAATATAAGCATTGTATTCTGCTGCATTTTCTGAGTTCTTTGGAAGATACATCTTGAATCTTTGAGGTTTTTTAAAAAAATCTTATAAGTGAAGTAGCTTAATGCTAGTTTCCTTACCTTTTTTTTATTTAGTAGATCTCAGTTTAAGAGTCACATTAGCATATGAACAAATCAATTTAAGTAATGTTGCCTGTCAGCTTTTCTGCTTTATGACTACTGGTGTGTTGCTGACCACCAATGTTCTCCTTAGTACAAGTGTTGCTTTAGATTTGATGGATACTCACCTAAACGCTTCTGTTACTCAGTAATTTTTATATGGATTAGTGTAAAGCATGTGTGGTCTTCTTTAAACAGTTATTTTTGGGAAGCAGAGGTCCAAGAGATTAAAAAAAAAAAAAGCCAACTGAATTCTGGCTCGTCACATATTAGAAGTAAAGCTGTGTTGTTTCAGAACATGCCTTGAAAGGACGAAATTCAATATGGAGCCATCTTCCTTTCCAAAAAATTTTACTGTGAAACATCAGCTTGAAGGCTTTTTGTTAACTTTGATCTTTCTTAAAACTGACCCGTTCATAATGTGTTTCAGTTCTGGTTTATGCTTCTTGCTGGAATCAGTTCTTGAAAATTATTCACTTTGAGGTATTTTTGTTTCTCCCTTTTACAACTGTTTATTTTTTCCTTTACTAACTGACTGATATGTGAAACTAATAAAACACCATAGGGATACTAGTTGTCCAAGGTACAACTTTGCATTTGTGGGGCTGTCACTGTCATGTATCAGTCAGGTAGATCTGCACGTGTGGTTACAGAACACAGGATTCACTGCACATCCAGATTCCACTCCCTGGATGGCTGGTTCTATGAGGAGAATGCTCTTCCTTTTTCTATGATCCTAATCTTAAATCCTGCTCTGGTTACAAGAAGTGTATCATGACTTTTTATTTTTCATTTCCCTCCAGGTTTACAGGAACAGATGGACCGAGTGGTTTTGGGTTTGAGCTGACATTCCGACTGAAGAGAGAGACAGGGGAGTCAGCACCACCCACCTGGCCAGCAGAGCTGATGCAAGGCTTGGCCAGATACGTCTTCCAGTCAGGTACCACAGGGCTTGATACACAGCCTTGCTTTCTCCTGCTCTGGTTCTGAAGGGCCACATCTGTTACAGGGTGTGACACTTGTCTCATCAACGCTCAGTCAGCTTTTGGGAATTGTCTTTGTGTTGAAACCCCATTGAGCGTGTTCCTTCTTCCAGCCCAGCCTGCAGGAACAAAACCAATTGTTGTTCAGGTTCCTGCAAATCCTGAGTATTGAAAAGCTGAAGTTACACAGCAGTCAGTAACTATAGGAAGTCTGCCCAGTGACTCTTTCCTGCAGAGTTGGGTTCACAGAATCGCAAAATCACTGAATGAGGTTGGAAAATACCTTTGAGATCAAGTCCAACCTGTGACCTCACACCTCCTTATTAACTAAACCATGGCACTGAGTGCCACATCCAGTATCTTCTCTCAGCAAGAAAAACACATGTTCTTATCCCGAATGACTGAAAAACGGCTATCTGATAAGGTCTCACTTCTCAGCAGAACTTCCAAAAGCACTGCAGCTCCATCACAGGCAAATCCCTTAAAGTGGTCCTGCAGCTAAGCAGTAGCAATGCATGTGAGCATGGAGTTGTTGAGATGTGACAGTTGTAAGTAAGGAATGCTAAAGCTGGGAGGGCCAAGGAATTAACAATTGTGAGTCAGGTATAGCAGGTGGAGAATTGCCAGAAAACTGGAAACCAGGGTGCCTACAAATCATCCTCTTGCGCTGTTCTTTTATAGTTTCATTTATATCAGTAGATTGAATGTTACTTTTAGTGTTAGCACATGAAAACCTGTAGAATGGCTGATGGCTAATGTACTTGAATGGCACTTTACAGCATCACAAGATCTGAATGAAAATATTTAAAGAACATTTTTAATCTAATTTGAGGTCCTTTACAGATAAAGTACTTTCTAAGTCAGTGGTTATTGAATTTGTAGCATTTGGTACCTGCTGAACTAGTTCATTAATTGCTCAGTGACTTCTGATTCTGCTGATGGTTTTCAGTCAGCTGGCTGACTCTCAAAGAGAAAAGGTCTGGGTAAGAGCAGGATCGCTCTGCTAACCTCTATAACAAATCTGAGGAAGTGCCAGTCTTGTGGGTATTTTTCTGAATATTGGTGGACATAGTTCAGTGCCATCCCGGATTATTGCTTGTCATTTTGTAACCTTTGCTGTGTAGCTGTCTTCCCCAGTTGCCATCCAAAATTTGTCTCACCTTTCTATCTTGATTTTTGTAACTCTTAAGCATCTAAATTATGAGACTGTCATTATTTTTTTTACATTGTTGGAGATTCCCATCCTGCCTAAACTGTGTTGCAGAGCAGCTTTTTGGTACTAACCATGCAGTGTTGAATTCATACTCATATTTTCTATGCAATGATTGCAGGGTCTAAAGAAAACATCTGAGTCTAAAGTCTCCCTCTCAAAGTAATATATGTGTTATGTGTAAACTTATACTAAATGTCCTATATCCCGTTTGGATCATTTAAAATTTCCTAGCCCAGGCTAGTTTTCATAGCAGTTGCTTGTTGGTTACTGTCTTTTCATGGGTGAGAGGAGGTCTGTGGAGTGAAATGGGATTTGGGAGGGTACTTAAGGGAAAACTTCTTAGTGACTAAGCTGGCAGTCAGGGCAGAGACCTCTCTTGTTTGGTTCCTGCAATAATGCAGTCCCGTCTTTTTGACCTCAAAGCCAAAGAATTGTTCTTGGAATGAAAAGAGTGGTTGTGCCCATGCTTATCAGTCTGGCATGAACCACCCTCCAGTATTATCTTCTGCTTGCTTGCTGGTTTTTACTTTATATCCACCATGACTCTTTAAAGGTACACTGAAACTTATGCTGATGGATTCTAGCTTCTGAGTGTTTAATTTTCAATTTGTCTTATGAAAAACAATAGTGTATGAATCATAAATTGACTTCTTTCTTTGACTATGTAATTGGGTGTGAGCCAATACCATGCTTCTCATACAATGGGCAAACCACATGCTGGGTTATTTTAGGAAAAGCATGAGCAGCAGATAAAGGAAGTTATAACCTCTTTGGCATGGCACTGGGAAGGCCATGCTTAAAGTATTGTGTCCTGTTTTGGGTTAAGAGATACTGAAAAACTGGAGAGTGTTCAAGGTAGTCAGGATTCTTGGGCATGTGAGCCATGAGGAGAGCTGAAGGGAGCAGGGCCAGTTTAGCCTGGGAAGAGAATGTGCAGGGTGATCTAATTGGAGCCTACAGCTGTAGGGAGGGTAGTTACAAGATTGTGGGGTCAAGCCCTAGATAGTACATCAAAGGGCTACAGCTCTGAATTGCAGTATGGGAGGCCCTGGAAAAGCTTCAAGGAAAACTTGCTCACAAGGAGAGCACTAAAGGACAGGGAATGGTTTATAAGAGAGGTGCTGGAACTCTATTGCTGGAAAGGTTCAGGACTTAGCTCAACAAAGCTAAGTTGGTCCTGATCTAGGATTGGGGATGGCTCCACTTCAAGCAGGGAGGCTGGACAGGAGACCTGCAAAGGCCACTTAAATTATTACAGAAGTGTTGGATTTTGGGCAATTTTTCCATACTGCTTTATGCTCTTCAGCAAGCAGCTGTGTGTTGTCACTGACTGTTACCAACCATTCCTTGCCTTGTATAAAACAAATCTGTATGCTGTTGCAACAAGTGAAAAAGCTCTAGTTTTTATTTCAGTATAAATTTCATTATCACATGTCTCTTTTAGAAAACAATTTTCTCAGGTTAAAATTATCTAGTTAATAATAAACATCACATTAATTTTGACAAGATTTAAAAGCAAGACTTGTAATGGGGCCTATTTTATCATGTTTCTTTTTGATCTTTCAGGGCAATGCCAGTTGACCACAGCTAGATGCAGTAATTTTCTAATTTGGTCAAAGATCTCTCGTTCAATTGCTCTTCAGAGTCTCCAATACTTCTGCCACATCTGACATGTTCTTCTTTATTTTGTTGTACTCCCTTGAGCTGTCTTGTCTCAGGATGGTAGCATCCAAAGCAGTTCTCCCTTATGTCACTCCTGGGTAATCAGGCACCCTCAGCAGTGGGTCCTCAGTAGTGTTACTTTCTTTTCTGTCTGGTAGAGTATCCCCAGTTTGACATTTCCACTCTGCAGAGCCAAGTGAGCTTCTGCTATTGTTTTTACTTGTTTTTTTACAGGACTTCTCTATTCAGATGTTGAAACTTTAAAACTCTGAAGTATTTGAAGGGTTGGTTCTTCTGAAGCCCATTGGGCATGGAGCAGGCTGTGTCATGACAGCATTGTTTTACGTGATGAAAGGTTTCTTGTTGCTCAAGTTCTTTCTGACTGTAATGCTTAGAGCATTTGTCAAATGAAACTCTGGTAAGTGTTGTTTAACTCTGGTGTATGTACTTTAATACTGTTCTCTTAAATTGTTTTTTAAAAAAAGTCTATGGTGTCTTTTTAATACACCAAAGTAGCCTTAAAAACATTTCATGAACGGGAACAACTGAAGTAAATCTTATGAATCCACCCTGAACAAGAAGCAAGAAAAAGAATAAAATCGGCAGAAACATTTTGGATGGGCTCCAAGCACTTTCACATGTCAGAAAATTGTTTACTCTGAAAGCTGTACTAAGAGCTAAATTCTTATCTCTTGATAAAAGCCAACTTTTTAGTTATCATAGAGGTGTGCTGCTGAGTCCAGCTCAAGCTGGGGGAGAGTAAGGTGTAGTCGTACTCCTGCTGAGCCTGAGCATTTTCAGGTGGTGATGACTGAGTTAAACATTCACCTAGCAGCTACCGCTGTCCTAAATATTATTCCTGTGTATTGCAATTTCAAAGCATGTCTCATTGCAAGTGATGTATTTTTCTAACAAACGCTTCTAGGCAAATGAATGTTACATTCCTTTGTTTCTCTCTCTCTCTCTCTCTCTCTCTCCTGCACTGTGGCAGTGCTTTAGAAAAGCAATCTTCTGCATTGAATTTCAGACCTCTTTCAGCCTTGGCTCCTCTGTTCACTGTAACAAGCGCTTGGTGCTTTTGATTAAAGGGCAGTACTTATCCTCCTTCAGCAACACCAAGCTTTCAAGTCTCAAAAAGTTTTATTTGTGGCTTTATCTGTTCTTAATTTTATCACTGTTTGACCATGACCACAAATTCCAACTCTGTTAGTTTTTAAAAATCCCCAAACCTTCAAACCTTGAAAATGAAACTTAACACAATTCCGTGACCTTAGCTTGTCACGGTTCATGGGTGTACTGCAAATATCTCATGGTAGAACAAATTTATACTTCAATTGAAATGAAAAGGAAGAAATGCTCTTCCTACAGAAAGCTTATCCAGAGCTTACTACAATTGTTAACTCTTTATGTACTACAGTATTAAGACCCTTGATCACTACAGAGGGACTATGGTTTGTGTTTTCTTGAAATTAAAATCTGCACCTTTTTTCTCTCTAGGCTAAATTTATGTTGTTTTCAAGGGTCTGTCTGATATGTCGTGAAGGCGATATATTGATGTAGCATGGCAACAAGTACACATGTATATGAGCTCTTGCTGCTTCCATGTTTTTAGCCTGAAAGAAAACAGCTGCAGCTGTCAGGTACACGTTTGGAGAAACTGTCATGAAAACTCATCATGCGCAGAGCCTAAAGATAATGATGTGGTATATGTCATGGTTATATTCTCCACAATGCACAAGTTGTGGTGGGAAATGAGTCTGAAGTATTAAGAGGATGTCCATGAATTAGAAGTTTGCAGGTTGGCTGAGCTTGATGACATTTACGCTAGAACATATCAGCATGGGTAGGCTGAGCCCCTGCTGGTTTAGGGGAGACATGTAGCACCACAGGAGACTGGAAAACTGGCAAATGCTATTCTTCACATCCCATAAAAAAACCTGTATCAAAACCAAAACAAACTCCCAAAATGAGAAAAACAAACTAACAAAAAGTTTCTAATTGGTCAATCAAATTTCAGGTCTTAAGAAACTGCTAAGAGAAACAAACCATCCAGAAGGCATCCACAGAATAATGGATGATGGA